GAATAACGCAGCAACTGTCTCTCTCGTGGGCTAGACTAACAAAACATTAAAATGCAACGTCACTTACATCATCATCACCGCATCTCGCATCTCTTAATATTAATTCTTTACTCACAATCTCCTCATCACAGGCAGGCACAGCACTCATGTTCGTGTTTGTGTGTGCTGTCTGCTCCACTCATTGCACGTGCCTATATCGTGCACTATATCGAATTTTTTAAATATCGTTATCGAAGGTGTACCGTCGATAAATATCGATACCGTTTTATCACCCAGGCCTATAATGCATTTTTTTTCTACAGATGCACAAACAATACAAATCTTTTAAACCTGGAAACAGGCTAGGTTTTAAGAGAATATCAAATAATAATGAAAACATTATTGCACGATAAATAATATTTTAAAATTAAGAAATTAAAATTAGTTAACTTAAATTGCTATGCTGAAGCATTTTACTGTGTGTGTGTGTGAGAGTGAGTGTGTGTGTGTATATATATATATATATAGTACCAGTGTTGGGAGTAACGCATTACAAAAGTAATAATATTACAGTAGTATATTACTTTTTGCTGTAACGCAGTAATATAACGCATTACTAATCAAATTTGGGTAATATTATTACCACGGCAGGAACTCCGAGGCTGCAGATGCGTCGACACTGGCTTAATTCAGCTTAGAAACCTAGTCCAATTACCATGCAGACAGGAGGAGAAATCCCTCCGTGTTCACCGCCGAGCAACTGAAGACCGTGGAGCTCTTTCCTCATGACAGCAGGACTGGAGATGCGAGCGTCGCTCTCGTGGGCTCTGTCTTCAGGGCGAGATAGCTAGACTTTTCTAAATGTATCTGTAAGCCTTTTGTTATTCTTCCACCAAAAAGCTGCGAGTGGGATTTCCTTCTTTAGATTAGACTTTTCTCCAGCTGGCTTCTTATCATGGAGATGCACACGAACGTCTTGCTAGTCACTGCAAACGTTGGATCACTGTTTGACAATGTAAGTCGCCTCTGTTTAAATCCCTTATCATTTTCCAGCTCAAATATGCGCAGTGTAAATGAGTCGACGCAGCGAATTATTTTGGCTTTCGTTATTTCACAACTGCTTCTTTTGCAACTGAACGCGACTGGTTTACGTTAGTTAACCTGCTGCTGAGCCCTAACTTACCTGTGTTTCTTAGGTGTTCTTAAAAACAGTCGTTACATGAATAAAGGTAGGCCAAAACACCCTCCCGAATAGCTGACGCTTTAAACCGCTCCGAAAAGCGCGTTTAATTATTTCAGTCTGTACATTTCAGCCTGTATTATTTTATAACTCAGCCGTTGTTATATTGTAAGATGCCGTTCACAAGGGACGGCTTCTTGCGTCTTTCTGCGCTGTTTTATTAAGTAGCCTATTAGTATTATTTTAATGTAAACACCCGCTAGACTGATTTTTCAGCGTTGTGCGTTTCGTAGCGAGTTAAAAGGAGTTCGACTTTTAAAACGCGTCTCCGTTCCGTTACGCTGCGTCTCGCTGTTTTCGAACGCAAGAACGCGTCCTGCGCGAGCGGCACCGACGCTTCTCTCTGCTCAGTGATAGAGATGGACCACCTGGTGCGGTTCCTCCATACTGAAGCACGGTGCTGCAGTGAAACACACTTCAGGTTTTCTTCGCTCCACTGGGCCTTTCTCGCACTCGAGTCCCCAGTCTAGAGTGATCTCGTCTCCCATTCACCGTGTGCTCTCTGACAGCACCTCCCCACAGGTCTAAGGACCTATCACACACCGCGCCACCGGCCTGAGTGTGTATTCAAATAAAACAGGAAACTGACAGAGTGACAGACAGTTGTGAGATTTTTCAAAGCGCTACCGCGAAACTGGGGAGCTGAGCTGCTGCTGCACTGTACTGCTAAACACTCTGTCCTGCAGTTATTATGGGCATCTAAAATAAGACTGGATAATGTTAGTTTATACTGAAGAGAAAAACAAAAACATATGTTGCCTACTTGTGAATAGTAGCCTAATGTTGGCAGCAGGGTTTTTAGTTACTGAAGCTGAAACCAAACACGTTTTTGTTATGGACATCTAGAATAAGACAATAAGAGAACGTTAGTCCATACTTGTGAGAAAAACAAATACACATGTGCTTGTGAATAGTAGCCTAATGTTACTGTTACTATAAAACCATCAAAAACAACGTTTACCTAAAATATATTTAAAAAGTAAACTTTTTTAAAAACTAGTTGCAAAGGCAGCATTTCTCATTTTTATTTAGTTTAAATTGTGAGTTTACTAAAATCAAAACTAATTGAATTGTGATGTACTAAAATAACTAAAGCTAAACCTGAAATAAAAAATTAATAAAGACTAAATATATACTATATACTATAAAAATGACAAAAACCCAACACAATCACTAAAACTTCATGGCAAGCTGTTTATACATTTTTCAAAATTGCTAGAGCTACCCATTTTTATGTTTCTTGTATTTTTAGTATCTTTTTCTGTTTCATCATTACTTATTATTTATTATGTACTAGTTTTTATTTTAGTGTAAGTAATGATTAAGTAGGCTCCTAGTGACTTGTTTCATTAGAGTCCATATATGTAGACTAGTCACTATTGGAATTTGGATTCTCATGAAACTAGTCAGTGTTAGTTAATACTAGTCTCTATTGAATTGCTTTCTACATGAGTCGATTTTTAGGGAACCATGATACCTTTAAAACATGAAAACTGCCCACTAACTTAAATGGACAGTGAACATTTTGGTGAAAAAACATTGAGTTTAATGCTAGCAGCAGGTGACTGTGATATACTGGGAAAACCATACGCAGTAGACTGATTGATATTTTTTTCAATAGTATGTCACGCAACAGTTTGAGACTTTTACATTGGATTTAGCTCAGTTTGTTCATCAGTTTTTTAACTTACGTAGTTTGTCCGCTACTTGTGCTAATGGCATGTTTGATACCAGAGTAAAGGATTGTGCTACATTTCTAAATGATCGCATTTCCGGATGATAAAACACTAAAAAATGCTACACGTTTACACTGAAGGAGAGCACAAGCATTGTCTGAATGCAAGGAAATCTCATACAACACCCTAGAGCACTGTTTTTTTTACACTCACATTTTATTCAGAAAATAAAAATCTAGTTAAAATCTTGCTGTGGAGTTAATTTTCCCTCATACTGTGCATGTTCAGTCCAGATTTTCCGGAGTTGCGGTTTAGTCGTATTTGTTAGAGCATTGGCTTCATTGTGCGTATGGAGGACCGAAGCTACAAGTGGAAATTTGGCCCCGTACCCAGTTTCCTCCGGCCATGTTTGGCTGAGAAAAAGCACATGTCACAGTCCATTGTGACTGTAAACAGATGAATATCATTTCCCAAAGGACTTCAACCCTTCCTCGCTTCTTCTTTGAATAGGTCGGTATAAATGTTGTAGCAGACTTCCAAAAATGGTTACATTTTTCCTATCCACAAGAAGGGTTTACCAGACCTGTCAAGTTTTGAAACATCCTTGAGTTTAGAGTGTTTTGCTATGATTCATCATGTTTAATGAGGCGATAACATTTGGGGTGTGTATCTCACAGAAAATGTTGAAATGTCCTGGCCTGCATTTCCTAAAAGCATAATGAGTCCAGTGCTAATGGTTTCTGTGAACCACTGAGGCCCGGTGATTCGCCCCAAAGTCAAAATAAAAAAATTAATATATTTTAAAATTTCCGTTTCATGGCAATGAAAGCACATTTTTGGACACAGCCCCCCCCCCAAGTATATACAATTTTTTATGTATTACAGTGAAATGGTAATGCCACAGTACAAAATAAAAACTCTTCATGTTGCTAAAAATAAGCGTCATTTTGTTTATGCGGAATATAAATTCTAATTTTTTATTTTGTATAACATCTCTTGATGTTTTATTTTATTATTTTTAAAATTTCCGTTTCATGGCAATGAAAGCACATTTTTGACACAGCCCCCCCCCCCAAGTATATACAATTTTTTATGTATTACAGTGAAATGGTAATGCCACAGTACAAAATAAAAACTCTTCATGTTGCTAAAAATAAGCGTCATTTTGTTTATGCGGAATATAAATTCTAATTTTTTATTTTGTATAACATCTCTTGATGTTTTATTTTATTATTCACACAAAAATAGCCTGCATATTAGATCTCATAACTATGAAGTTATCACATTTGGCCTTGAAAATGTATGACTGCAATTCCTAGGGCACTTAAAGTATGCTATAGCTTCTTTGCATAAATTATCTTGTATTTTCTTGTTCTGTCATGGCAGATCATGAGAATCCCGCCGAACGAGTAAAAGTCAATACATTTATGACAGCTTACTTGAATCGCAACAATTCTGTTCTCGCATTCTTGCGTGAAGTATGCTTCAGGCTAAAGACATTTCTGTCAACACGTTTTTGTAATGCACCGAGTGTTTCGCAAAGACTGTTTGTTTTTGACATTGCATGCGTGTTAGATCAAATCATACAGTCATGCAGTTATAACCGAATGCCCAGGTGCAAGCGTGTCTGATTTATCAGCACTTCATCAGAGCTGGTTAAAAATATCTTGTCCCCCGCGTCAGTGTCCCCTGTAAGACACTGCAGTGTTTACCTGCCGTTTAAAAGCACTCCAAGTCAATTAACTTAGTTCTTGTGTGCTATTTTAAGTCGAATGTTAGCACGGGCTGGAGCTGGCAACAGGAAATGATGTATTGCAAATTTGGGAAATCCTCTTGAGAGATGAGATGAAGGAAGTTTCCACTGGCCTCCCCACCCTTCAAATTCAGTGGAACTAAGAACACAAAGATAGAAGGCATGTGAGTGACAGTCCATAAAAGGTCTTTACAAGATCAAAGTAACACTGTAAATTGCATCAGATGCAATTCTATTCTAGGCCCTGATCTAGGCCCGTGCAGTCGAATTCTCTTGACCTGGTTTCACCGCTTGCTTGATGGGCTGTGAAGGGAGTGGTCAGTGTTTGCACTTTTTAAGTGGTTATAGCATGAAAGAGACACAAAAACAAAAGAAGCAGAGCAATATGTACAGCAGTGTTTCAGCAGCCTGCAGACAGACCGGCAGTGGTCTGCTCTTTATCACAGTTCTGTCCTTACTGCTCTGCGTCGAGTCGACAGAAGGAGTGAAGTCAATTTTACACTTGTGGTTATAGTATAGCAGACCACAGGGGCACACATCTGTGACACTGATAAAACCGGTCTGTTTTGTAGCAACCAGCATTATTAGGAAGTGGCTAGAGATATCTTTGAATATGTTGTGTAACATTTAGTCATTCTGTGGCTGATTTTTTTTTTACTGTTTATTTTATTTTTCTACATGCTATACTTATAGTTATAGTCTTCATTATTTATGCCCGGCATTATTGATGAATCTGCAGTTTCACACAGAACTGGACCGTTCTTTAGTCACAAAAGCTTCTTATGTATTGATTAAATATTTGGCCATGATACTTTAAACTACCAATAATGAATGCAGTAAAAAAAAAAATGACAAAATTAATTCACAAGTTATAGCGTTTTATAGATTTTTACCAAAGAATGTGGAAAAAGTCCATGTTCCATTCGGAACCCTTGTGAAAAAGAAGTGTGCTTAGTAGTATTAAATGTGCACTTGTAGTGTAGTGAACTCTAAAATGTAGTGTTCGTGTTAACACACTTAAGTGCACTTTCAAAAAGTTTTTATATAAAAAAGTTTTAATGTTTTCTCATGCTTTAAAGAAGTACACTTACTTTAATGTGTTGACTAATGTAAAGTACTTTGTTATTTTAAAGCAGCACTATGTAACTTTTTCTGTGTTAAAAATTTGCTAAGTGTATATAATGAGCGAGTACATCATGAATTCATCTTAAACCGCTAGAGCGACAAAAGTTACTTAGTGCTGCTTTAACTGTAGTCAATATTATTCAATATTACATTTAAAGTTAATTTATTTTAAATGTACTAAAATATAAGTTCATTATTATAAATGTGTAATTAAACATTAGTTTAGCATAAATGCTTCTATTCAGCAGTACCATATTTCAAAGACAATAGAATTACATATAAAAAGCAAGTTTAACTAAGTTTAGCTGCATTTAATATAAATTTCAACTTAAATGCCGATAATACAACATAAGGTTAAGTGCATGTCTGAAAACATTGCATTCAGTTCACACTTAAGTATATTATTTTAAAGTATATTATTTCCATAATAAATACTTTTAAAAAAAAGTATTCTAAAGTATACTTCTTTTTCCCAAGGGACTGCTTGAAATAGCTGTGAAAGATATTACACATCATAGAACATGTCATAGAACCTTGTTCTCATTCTCCACTCTCATAACTGAAATATCTAAGCTCCTTCCTGAACCCATATCACATTCTAGAGCTACATGCTAGCTGGCTTTTAATTCATTTTGCCTACTCACTCAAATGGCAGGCATTTGGGCAATGCATGACCTGCAGCGGCAGGGCACAGATCTTCAGATGCAAATATACACAGGCACTGCTCCATTCACTGGATACTCCCTCAAACTAGTCTCTAATCACATTTTTGACTATCAGCAGAAAGTTTGGTCCAGTCTTCATCTTAGTCTGGTCAAGAAACACCCTTTTGAATGTCTTTATAAAAAATTATTTCTCTAAATTTCTCTAACTATAGAGAAAACATTGATCGGCTGTTTGTTTGAGCAACTCAGCCGGGGCAATATGCTAAAATTTAAGCCTATAAATCAGTCCAGTCTCTTCCACTTGATTAAATGCTAAGTTCTTAACTTTTATAAAGAATATCTCTTTGGATTTGAGACTTTAGTCTTTGCAACTTTACAGATCTTCTTTATGCACCAAGAGCTTGTAACACTCCAAAGAGAAAGGAAAAATTGAAATCGCATCATATGACCTCTTTAAAATTGAACCTGCAACATATTATGATACTGTTTCAAATATTTTTATTTTATTTTATTTTTTGCTGTGTTTTTCCCCTATACATTTCATTGACCCTTCTTTATTTTTAGGTTTAATAATTTTAGGTTTGTGTTTAAGATTTATGTTTGGAAGTCTGTTTCCGCCACTGAAAAAAAAAAAAGAAGAAAAAAGTTATTGCAAATATTTATCTCGCGATTCTGACTTTTTTTCTGGCAATTCTGACTTCTTTTCTCAGAATTGTAAGATATAAACTTATCAAGCCTTAAAGAGTTATAAAGCCAAATTCTGAGGAAAACAGAGAGAGACAGAATTGGGAGTCACAATTACCTTGTCTTATTTTTTTATTCAGCATGGTGGAAACTGGCTTCAATATTTAATGTTTTATGTTTTACTTGTTAACGATATCTAAAGTATCAGATGTGACTGTGTTTGAAACCTGTTTCTTCAAATAATGGTTTTTCAAACATTTGATCAATGTTTTCCACCACACACATGCACACATTTGCTTTAAATGCATTTTACTTTCAGTTTTTCATATATTATTCATTCAGTTTTTTATGTTGATTCTTTTCTTTCGTATCTTTGTTCATCTTTTCAAACACACAATAGCCTAATTTAAAGATGTAGTTAGACATCTGGTCTGTCTGCAGCATATGTTGACTGCATATACCGTCATCTTAGTAATATGTTTGACACTATACTGTGTAAATCTTTTTTTTTTTCTCTTGTGTAGTTTGGCAATAGTATAAAAGTAGAAGGGATGTATTGTACTTTCACCTCATGGATGGATGACGTTTAGACTCTTCATGATAAATATCACATATACAGATGCATAATTGTTTTATTATCATTTCAATTTCAACTGTGAAATACAAACTAAATGTGCAAAGTGCAAAACACACCTCTAGTGTACAATCTGTGCTGTATAACTATTATTATACTGTGTGCTGTCAATATGTCTGTCTAGTTTAGATAACTTTTTATCCATTTAAGATGGAAGTAATCATGATGAAAGCACTTGTTATTATTGGACATAATCATGATGCCTTTAAATGGTTTGATACAGACCTTCAGTGGCAAAATTGCCTGTAATGTCGCAATTGAAAGCACTCAGTTACTGAATGTGCTGCGGAAATCCTTTATCCAGTAAATCTAATCCGCACTGCAGTTTAAAGCTCACAGCAGAGGTTAATCTGACCATGTTGTTAGTATTATAAAAGTGGCCTAACAGGGAAATCTGGTTGTTGTCCTCAGGTGGGTGAGATTGAAGGAGACTGGCTGCGAGAGTTCTTCATGGTGAGTTTGATGCATTTCACGTGTCCTTCATTCAAACACAATTCAAACACATTCAAACAATGCTCAATGTAGCGTTGTAGAAAAGCGGTTTTTTTTAAACATGCTCTTTACTGTTCTAATGGTCACACAGACATTGTCAGAGCTCTTCATCTGTTCAAACCTGCTAAAAAACACACACACCTTTGCAGAGTGAACTTTACTCTGCTAAACAGACACTGTAAACTAAAGGTGTTTGTCTTATTTATACAACCTGTCTTTTGTGCACCATAAAACCATGTTATGTTATCTGCTGTTATCATGCTGTGAGCACACGGAAGTTGAATCACAGATTTGATGATTTTCCTGCTAGATGTAATGTGTACACAATCTCTGTTGCCACTTTTACATTTAATTGCCATCTCAGGTAATTGTATTTGAAATCCCGCTGGCTCTAAATGGGCATGACGCTGTAAATGTTGTTAAAATAAAATATCAAAATACATTGTCCAGGGGCATTTATAGTCTTTTATCAGTACTGAGGCACAGCCCCCCCCCCCAAAAAATTTTTTTTAAATTTTTTGGATGTAAAAATTTTTACATCCAAAAAAGTATTATAAATGGATATAAATCATCTTTAGAGTCATTCACAAGCTGCACACACAATAAATAACTGCTTCGTCAATAGAAGACATTTACTATTTCAGTGTGAGAACCCACTGCAGACAATCCTCTGCATGAGTGAACTGTCTGAAAAAATCAAAGTGAACCATGAACATTTTTTTTTTTTTTTAAGGTTTATTTATGGCGTTGTATGCCTTTATTTAGATAGGACAGTATAGGTCGACAGGAAGTGAAGTGGGTGAGAGAGAGGGGGATGGGATTGGGAAAGGTCCGCGAGCCGGGACTCGAACTTGTGACACCCGAAGCGCAATGGCGCTGTATGTCGGCGCGCTGCCCACGAGGTCATCGACATCGACCATGAACAGTTTTAAACCTTTTTGCAAACCCGGTTGAAATCCAGTCATTTCTAGGAATCCATGCACTTAGGAGTTTCACATGAGGGCAAATAAGTTCCCCATCCAGATGACGCTCATATTCAAGTTGTTCACATGAATTTGCCGCACTGGGCAGTTGAAAGCTGCTTGGTTTGAAAGTGACTTCTGTGTTTCATTGCTACACTGTTAACAATGGACAATTTTTTTTATTTAGCTGAAATATCACTATAGTCACTGCAGCTTTAGGCTTTTTTTTAAACAACAAAATGCTCTAAATGGGGCATTTTTTTGACCTGTGTCTTTAAGATGTCTGTGCTTTGTATGCTGTCTTTAAGATGTCTGTGCTTGTGATTTTGCATATGGATCTTGTTTTTGTGCCGATCCATTTTTAAATAACAGACTTTTTGTTAAGCTGTGCAAAAAAAAAAAATCCATGGTGAAGTGTGTGGTGCAAACTGTTAAGATGAAACTGACACGAACAACACAGTGTTGACCATATAGCTACCCACAATACTCTAATGGTTAGTAGTGATATTATCTATCTTGCTTCCTTCTATAGACAAGTTTCTGAAGACAGAAAAGGTATCATTGACATCACTGTAAATGTGGAAGGTCATGTGTTGATTCATTCTTCTGATGTCAAAAAATTGGAAGTGGAAGTTTGGAATGAAACCGTTTTGCTGCTCAGTTTTTAAAAAAATATGAATTTGAGTTCTGCTAATTACAGTATGTTTTTTATTTGAAATCAGTGTTCTTATATGATCCTCAGGATATGATCCTTTAATGAATTTAGAGGTGCAACAGTGGATAAACACACTGGAAAATAATGAATTGCCTTATGTAAATCATATCTCCTTAGATGGTGCACATGCATAAGCCACGCTTCGTCGCCCTGCACTTTCAGGAAGTTGGTGGAAAGGACTATATGGTGAACATGGGCCACGCAGAGAACTTTTTCTGGTGAGAATATTGCAAATTCTGGACTACACACTAGTAACCTTATTAAAAGTACTGTAGCAGTGCCATGGTACTGTACAGTGTCAGTATCAGATAGTAGCAAACCACTGATTACCGTGTTTGTATACCATAATATTTACATGGATAACATACAGAATGTTAACAAATTACAGTGTTTATTGTTTTTATATGTGACCCTGGACCACAAAACCAGTCATAAGGGTCAGTTTGTTTTTTCTGTATTTTTGATAAAATAAATGCAGCCTTGATGAGCATAAGAGACTTCTTTAAAAAACATTACAAGTCTTACTGATCCCAAACTTTTGACCGGTAGTGTATATACACACACACACATATATATGTATGTGCAAGAATTATATTGTTTTTATCCTTTTTTTATAGGACCATAGAGTCCAGCTCTGAGATGGATGACTTCGACAGAGTCTGTGTCTATGTAGACAGTAATTTCAGGGCTGTTGACAGTTTCACGGTGAGTGATGTGGCTGTTGCAGTATCTCGCAAGATGATTTCACTTGGTTCCTTAGTGATTTAATTAAAAGGAAACACATCTAAAGTCATGCAATCTCTTAATCTTGCACCACCTGAGTTGTGGTTAGTTTGAATGTCCACTAGGTGGAGCTATATAACCATTTTGAACTCTGCCAGTACTCACCTCACTCACCTTCCTGTTATTGTAGTGCTACTCTTATCTATAATCACAGCAGTGCTTCAAAGTTAAATGAATAGTCCATCCACCTAAAATAAAAACTTTTTTTTTTTTACAAAAGTGAATGAGGACAGGGGCTTTCAATGTCAAAAAAATTTAAAAAAGCACAGTAACAGTAATTATACAAGTTGTGCACTATATTGAAAGTCTTCTGAAGCCATGCAATAGTTTTGTGTGAGTAACAGACTGCAGTTGAATTTGTTTTAAAATGTATAATTGTTCCCCCAGTGAGCTGTTAGCTGCTGCAATCAGATCATTGAATCAGTGAGATCAATGGATCAGTCCAATTTGTGAACAAATCAAACTCATAATTTCATCACACTTGAGCTGATTTTAACTGGTCAAAGTGCTACAACAGATCTTAAAATATTCAGTTTTGCAAAATAAAACACACTGGGGTCTTAAAATCTGTGAAAGACCATATTGAAAATGAGGTTTCAGAATCTTAATTTAAACCTGCAAACAGAAATTCTAAAACAACAAAAACTTTCAAAAAATGTAGACATCGTTTCTAAACAAAAATACAAAGACCTCTTGAGTAAGCCAATTCTTAAATTTAGACATCGTTTAAAAAAAAAATACAAAGACCTCTTAAGTCATGTGTGTGTGCGTGTGTGTGTGTTAGAAAAAAAGTGTGTGAGTTCATGCACTGCAATGAGGACTTTCATTATAAAAAGTTGCAAAATTTTAGCAAGATTAGTTTATTTTATGCCATCACACAGTAATTTGTTTTGGCTATCAAAGAGACTCGTTTTCCCATGCCCCAGTGGTATTTCAGATATAGTAGATCCTTGTCAACAGTATTTAATGATACTTTACTGCAATACAGTATATTGGCTTTTAGTTCTGGAAGTATGTAATTTAAAATCAGTTGTCTTCGTTCATGGACTAACAAAAAATATACATTACAGTTCTGTAGTTTGGGGTCAGTAAGATTTTTTAACATTTGAAAAAGTCTGTTTTCATTTGATAAAAAATGCAGTATTTTTCTATTTTAATATACTTTAAAATGTAATGTATTCTTTTGATGCAAAGCTGAATTTTCAGCATCATTACTCCAGCCTTTAGTATCATCTTCAGAAATCATTCTAATATGCTGATTTGCTGCTCAAGAAACATTTCTTATTATTGTCAATGTTAAAGAAAAGCATTTATTTGAAATAGAACTTTTTGACAAAAACACTAAAATAAAATTAAAAAAAAAAAAATGCTGTACTCCCCCCAAACTTTTGAACATTATTGTATAAATATTATGGATAATCCATTTTATGTTTTTGAAAGTCTTCCAAAAACAAAAAAGTGTCACTGGCAATGCATCTATTATAATACAATTAAAATACTAAATTATTTAAAAATGCTAAAAAAAAAAGTATATTAATCATAATAACATTTTATATTAGAATATAAAATGCTAATCATCCAAACTTTGACCTCTTTTTCAAAAAAGTCAGGATCCAGTCATTTCCCAGTCTCATTCCCCGTTTCCCTTCCCAGTAATTTCTTGTCCCTTCATAGCCGTGGCACTTGGGTAGTGCATGTGCCTGCTGTAATTTCCAGTCTCTCAAGACTGGTCATCTAGAAAGCACTGTCATATTAAAAAAGCATCATTTCTCTCACAAGATTTATATATTTCTCCTGGGATGAATATTTGTAAGAAAACATGGCTGTGTGTGTGTGTGTGTTTATAGTGTGGCATGCTTCATGTCAAAACATCCCTCACCGGCAGGTCATTTTTCTCTGTCATGCATGGGGCTTGTGTTGGGCCAACAGCAGGGCTCTGTGTTTAATCCCTGTGTGATTGTTTTAATTTTCTGTCCGTATTGATCTCTGCGGGACTGGATTGATGTGCGCTCACTGGAGCAAGCAGCTAGTACATTAAATCCATTCAGCGTGCTGTGAGAAAAGACGCGGGAAGTGTGTGTTTGTGCTTGGGGTTTGTGAGTATCGCATTGGCATATTTAGGTGTTTTTTGGGTACCAAAACTATAGGCAAGTCTGTCATGGGATAGTTCAGAAAGATTATTGACTGTTATAGTGTCTTGAAAGTCAGGGTTTAAAGATAATGATGTGTGCACATCATCAACATCTTTCAAAATCAAAGCAGATCTTTAGACATAAGGGATCTCCGTTAACCCCTGCTTTGTGCGTGACTTTAAGCTTGACTGATTGATTTATTTGTTTTTAGGCTCTGGGAAGCATGTATTTCATCCACAAGTCACTGAAAAATATCCAACAATATGACTTCAATGGTAAGTTTTTATACTAATATAAGGTATTATAGTATAAGGGTATTATTGTCAAGAACAAGTCCAGGTCATATTGTAAAATCAAAAGAAACAAATGTATAAGGAATAAAATACAGTCTCAGACTGATCACCCTTTTGGGGATTATTTTGCAAAATGACTGCTTAATACATGGCTATTTAGCAAATAAATAAATAAATGGGCATGAAATAGTCCAAAAATATATAGAATAAAATAGTTGTAGAGTGGTCATCTGGTCGTGCATTGTAACCTGGATGAGCTGAGATTTATTCAAAAGCATTTGAACACTGAATGATGTTCATAGACAGAATTAGGAAATTATATTTTTATTTAAATAAATAAACCTATTTTTGGGACCATTAATATTGTGACAATATTTTCTTGACATATTTTAGTATTTTAACATGAAAAATTATGGTATATTATCTAAATTGTCAAGTTATCTATATATGATTAAAGAACTGTAGTACTGCCTTTAATTTATACTTATAAAAACACAGTATTAAGTAACAGAAAATGACAGAATTATGGTCTATTGAGAATCATCATTGAAAATAATGTGAATGAATAATTTAAAGTCAAAACATTGGATGATTTACAATAATTAGAATTCAAATGTTCAAAATTTAGATGAATTCATATAATTTGAAAAACAGTACTGGCTCTCAAAATTATTTAGCCTACTATTATATATTACAGTATTAGTAGTTATGCAAATGTTAAATCAAATGTTTGTTTGATGAAACGGAAAACATTTGTTCATTTATTTACAGGGAATTATGTTGTGAAGTCGGTTAAATAGTCCAAGAATTTAACGTGGATTATATTTATACATTTTTTTTGTACAAAATCTGTTCTTTTAATATTTTTTAAAAATTTGTAATAAAGTTATGAATTTCAGTGAAATTCACACATAATCTCACAGGTTGAAAAACAATACATTAACTGCCATTAACAGAGAGATAAATTTCCACCCAATACAACACAAATAAATGTTCTCCTTCGACTCATTTGGTTAGAGTCTCTGATAGAACAGGATTTAACCTCATAAGCGTTTTCACTAGCCTTCACCTGTGCTAGTCACAGCATCTCATGAATAAGCTCTCAAGAAGAGGACTAATAGAAGAGCCATTAAGATCAGCGGACCAATGAATTTGGTGCCCTATCAAATCAGTGTCTCATAGATCCTGGGCTCACAGCCTACAGCCACGCAACATTTCCAACATTAGTATATTGATCTTACATTTGCATGCTTTTCTTACAATATGTCTTGTTTGTTTATTCCTCCTCCTTGTAGTGAAGGAGTTTAAAGCCGTCTCAGGCCATAACAAGTACGTGGGCTCGCTGGAAGGAGTGACTACCATAGAAAAAGAGAAATTCTCTAAGAACTTTTGGCCTGATGTAAGTGTGTGTGTAGTGGCAGTGTTTTTATATCTAGTGAATTTCTATTTAGGGCTGTCGCGATTCGTCGATTTTATTCGACTATTCGATTTTTAAAAATCCTCGACTTCATTTAGCTCGCGTCGACTAACCGGCAAAATACCATTTTGTGGGAAATTAATCGTTTAGATTAATCGATTAATTTGTCGATAGATTAATCGAAATAAAAATAGTCATTAGTGGCAGCCCTATTTCTATTCACTATGTGTCACACACTTCTGTTTTGAATACATTTTTAGGGTTAATTTTGCTCGTACTTGTATTGCTTAAATGTACAATGCATAGAGCATTTGTTACATAAACCTTGAAACGCAAATAAACACTGGAAGCAGAACAAATAAGTTCCTCTGTACTATTCTTGAAAATTACAGTATTACTAAAATAGTTATTGGCAATTCCAAAAAAGCACTGTTACTCATATGTGGTCATTATGAATGCATCCTTAATTATAAATTTAATTGTGTGTGCATTTAATTACAGTTCAAGTGGTCCAGAAAAGGCTACATGAGGACACGGTGGCTCATTCACAACCAGTATGTTTGCGCACACACTTCCTCACCTTTGGAGATGTTCCTCATAATTTTCTTCACAGTCTGTATGTGTATGTGTTTTTTGGCCTCAAACACGTTGTGTTAGCTATGTGTTAGTGGAATTGAGTGTCATCAGAAGTGAATTAATTGCAGACATGTGGCAGCAGTACAATAGAGAAGTACTGGAACCTGAAGACTGAGTGATAAATGAATGGAGCCTCTGAACTCCATCCTGTCAGCTAATGTCCTGCCTGCATCAGTCACAGAGACTGACAGGATTGATAGACCCCCCCTCCCCCAATATAATATGTCTTGCGTTTATGTGTGTGTGTGTGTGTACAGGGGTTTAGACCTGGTAAACGTTCACCTGTTTCACGACGCCTCCAACCTCATAGCCTGCAACTCTAGTCCGTCAGTGTATTCTGCAAACCGAAAGAAAGCTCTCAGATACGTCATCAACAGGTTTGTGCTTCTGAATTATTATTATACACGAGTTTGTGTAAATGAATTCAAGAAATAAAAATAACAATGAATGCAACGACAATATGAAATTAAAATTAAATAGCGTGCATGTTATATCCCGACATTCATTAATGCAGAACAGAAATGTTAATTGCATGAAAATGTACTCACCCTCAAGCCATCCAAGATGTAGACCAGAACAGATTTTGAGAACTTATATCACTTGCTCACCAATGACTCCTCTACAGTGAATGGGTGCCGTCAGAATGAGAGTCCAAACAGCTGATAAAAACATCTCAATAATCCACAAGTAATCCACACTGCTCCAGTCCATCATTTAACATATTGTGGAGTGAAAAACTGCATGTTTATAAGAAACAAGTCCTATCATTAAGAAAAAGATTAAGTTTGAACTGCCGCTCCTGGCCAGAATACAAGTCCATAATTCATAATAATGCTTCCTCCATTGAAAAAGTCCATCGTCTGTTGTCCTGTCACATCAAAGTCCACCGACATAATTGTTTACAACTGTTTTGACTTGTAAATGATGCTTGATCTGTGTATATTTCTCACCTGATTCAGACAAAACGACTTTTTTCACTGAAGAAAGCCAAATTTATAGATAGAGGACTTGTGTTTTAGCTGGAAGCAATGGTTTGAAGTTAAAAACATGTTAATGGTGGATTTACAAACACACAGCTTTTCATGTCACTGAGTCATGTGGGTTACTTTTGGATTATTGTGATGTTTTTATCAGCTGTTTGGACTCTCATTCTGACGGCACCCATTCACTGCAGAGGAGTCATTGGTGAGCAAGTGATGTAATGCTAAATTTCTTTAAATCTGTTCTGATGAAAACGCAAACTCATCTACATCTTGGATGGTCTGAGCAGATGGGAGAACTTTTCCTTTAAACCAAGGCCACAGTGGTGGGGAAAATAATATTAAGTTGTAATATCATAGTTCACTCATCACAAGCTGAATAGAATTGAGCTCTAGCCAACATTAATTCCAGCTGGATATTCTCTTACACACAGAAATACATCACAGTAAAATGCTGTGTCTTGTCTTTCAGCAGAAAAGACATTGAGCGTAATGTGGTTGGTGGTCCCATTTCTAACTCTCTCTCTTGTCTTGCAGGATATCAGATAGCAGCTACAGTCCTCTCCCCTTCTTCCTGTTTGGGGATTTCAATTTCCGCCTTGACACACTTAGTCTAGTACAGGTAGGTCTGACTGATATATGATATATCTAACCGCTGAACACATAAAGTATATAAAGATGCATATGGGTATTTGTTTGTGTACAGAACCTCTCCATGTCGGCTGATATCCTGACGGTAAAAAAAGACTGCAGCAACGAGGTAGAAAAAATCATTTGTGAGGAGAAAGACAATGACCACAAGGTGATTATTTATTTTCAAAGTAGTTCATTATATGTATTAAATGCATGTAAATGCATTTATTTATTCATTATATGATGATTAATTAATTAAATTAACTGCAAATATTTGCATATATATATATTTTGTTTTCTGAGAAAAGCAGAAAATGAAGATTCAGTCATTCAGGAGCCATTACAAACCTGGTTTTATATGTTAAGTTTGTCAATTTGCCTGTGGGAAATTTACAGGCTATTCACACAGTCCATTACTTGTTAGTGTGCTTGTGTACACTACCATTTTTATGAAAGAAATTAATACTTTTATTTATATAAATTGATAAAAAGTTACAGTAGAGACCTTTACATTGTTTTTTTTATTTAAAAAAAAAATTGTTTCTTTTGAAAAAGAAAAAAAAGTATCACAGTTTCCACAAAAATATTAAACGAAAAATATGAAAAAAAAAATTTAAATATGAAAAATATGAACGTTTTCAGCACTGATAATAATCAGAAATGTCTTCATATTAGAATGATTTCTGAAGGATCATGTGACACTGAAGACCGGAGTAATGATGCTTTGCAAACATTAAAACAGAAAACAGTTATTTGAAATTGTTATACAATTTCACATATTACTGCTTTACTGTATTTTTGATCAGATAAATACCTTGTTGTGTATAAGAGACTTACACTCACCAATGTATATATATATATATATATATATATATATATTTATACAGTAAATTACAGTGAATTGACAGCCTTATTTTTAACTTTTTTATGCTTTATGATTATGTTCTTACAGAGCCACCAGCAAATCTACCGTCACACTTGCTTTACTAAGACTTTGTAAACATCAGTGAACCCTCTAAGCGCCAAAGTCGCAAAATTGCGACAAGACCTCATACTTAATAAAATAGACTGTAGTTCCTGATATGGTGTAATATCTAATTTGTATTCCCTAACACTAGATGGCAGACATGTAGCACTTCGATTCTAGACCAAAATTACGTCACGTTCCTATTCAAAGTGTTCGAGGAAAGAGCAGAGCAAGTGAGCTATCGTGTCATTGATGCGGAAGCAGTTCAGTTCATAGCGTGCGAGTAAATTGTGAGATTTGTGAGAGAAAATCGCAAAATGGCTAATAAAAAGTTGTACCGTGAGGATGTGTTGCAAATGTTATTCGCCGATTCTGACTCTGAAGGGGAATATTTGCCTTTTGGAAATGACGATCGGTCGTCTAATAATCACGCTTCTCCTGGTACATCTTTGAAGCGCAATGGTGCCGCCGTGCAAGGCGAGAGTGTTCACAAAGCACAAACAAGTGATCATTTCAAACAAGTGTCCATAGGAGAGCTGTTGCTAGAGGTAGAGGCAGCAGGGGTAGGAGAAATAGAGCTGGAAGTAGCACTAGCTCTTTGGATCCAGTCAGAGCTATAGTAATAATTTATTACTTTCTCCTGTTTTATTGTTGGTTTCCTCTTTTCTGATCATTTTGCAATGAGGATAAAAAGACAAAAAAACATGCAAATAAGTTCAAACATCCATTCAATATCTATTATTTCCTGAATATTACTGATGAACTGATCAAAAAGTAGGCTACTGTTCACATGCGTTTTACTACTATAGATTAAAAAAACAACAAAAACATGCAAATTAGTTCAAACATCAATTCAATATCTAATATTTCCTGAATATTATGAAATTCAAGATGGCCGCCGCTGATGACATCATAATATGCTAATTAGATGAGTATATTTACACCCCACATAAACTTTCGGTCATGCCCAACATTTTTCTAATTTACAGTAGATCTCTATCTTTAAGCCCTTTCAAGCCACAAGCTTTTGAAATCTTGATGTCAAAATCCAGCATTTTTCCAAAAATCCCTGGCGCCTAAAGGGTTAAAGGTTCTGATTTTGCATCCAGGAGATGATTAATATTTTCTTTTTGTGTGCGCTCAGACATATCTAGTACACTGTCCAGCCAGATTTATGGTTTTTGGAGGGTTTGATATTGACTTCTTGCCAGTCCAGAAAATGCGTGCTTGCATTTAGATCGCTCCTGCAGACGTGTGCTTCATTTTTTGTGCCAGCAAAGTTGGAGTTACTCTCCGTTCTTCGCTAGTTTTTATATGCCCTGCATTAACCTCTGTCATTCTCCTTTCTCCTCTTTGTCTTTCCTGTGTTTATGTTTTGTTCCATTGCTTTCTCTTCCTTACCTCATTCTTTCTTTCTGTCCTTTTTTCAATCACTCCATCACTAGGTCCTCCTTCATATAGAGACCAAGCTTTTTGCTTACTTGCACCAGGCCGTATTCAGAGAAAACGACGGAAAAGAGGTCTGAATTTTGTTTTAAGAAATGAGGCATAGCATATAATCAAGAGTATATCAATAAGTCTGTGCTTATGTATTTTTCTGTCTTTCAGCTGCTGAAGTACGATAAGGAGATCTCTGCATTCCACGACGTCATCACAGAGGAGGAGATCCACTTTCCTCCCAGGTGAGCAGCTTGAGGAAGTCTTGTTGAACACTTCACAATGTTAAGTGCACAATATTCATTAGAGCAAAATATTCTAAATATAAAACTCAAAGCACAATATTGTTCTCAGCTCCTGAAAGAGATGACCTTTCTGCAAGATCAAAGTGTATAATTTTAAACAACATTAACTAATCCTGAAAACATGCATCACAGTTTCCACAAAAATATGAAGCAGCGCAACCATTTTCAACATTGATGATAATAAGAAATGTTTCTTAGCAGCAAATCAGCATATTAGAATGATTTCTGAAGGATCGTGTGACACTGAAGACTGGAGTAATGATGCTGAAAATTCAGCTTTGCATCACTAGAATAAATTATATTTTACAATATATTCAAATAGAAAGCAGTTATTGTAAATAATCATATTTATATGTTACTTTTTTACTGTATTTTTTGATCAAATGACAAGAGACTTTCAGAGAGATTAAAAAATCTTACCCACCCCAAACTTTTGAAGCAGTGTGTCAGATTACAGAAGTCAAATGTCTTAAAATAATGTATTGTAATTGTCATTCCAAAACAGTGTCATTTTCATGTCGTGCATCTTGTGTCAATGTTTTCAGTTATCCATACAGTGAAGACTACACTAAACCTACACAGTACATGAACACGCGATGCCCGGCATGGTGCGACCGCATCCTAATGTCCCACAGCGCCAGAGACATCATCCACCGGGTGAGTTTACAATTATTACTGTATACTGTTATTGTGAGCTTAAATAAGTTTTGTTACACCATAACTGAATATTTTCTTCGCCATTACAGATCCAAGTGATTGATTAAATGAATAACCAGTTGAGTAATTGTTTGTTGTCTGCAGAGGGAGGAGGGTGAGAGTGGTGTTGTTTATAACACACTGGGCTCCAACGTCTGCATGGGAGACCACAAGGTGATCAAACATCCCATCTTTATCAACATGAATAAACAAATGACAATGAGTGAATCAGTGAATTATACTAACTATTTGCCATATTAATGTTTATCTTTAATGTCTTCCCTCCAGCCGGTTTTCCTGTTTTTTCCAATGAAGACAATTACACATTGACACACAATACTGGAAGAGTCAGGGGGTGAGGCATGTGATTGTACTGTGTTTTTTTTTTATAATGATCTCAAATGACAAAGATGTTTCTTATAATCATAAAACTATCAGATGTTTTGTTCAGTATATATATATATCAGTATGGACAATATGACAATGGTTTTAATAGGCAAAGTAATACAATAAAATAATATTGGCATTTAATTCAATTCTATTTTCATGTCTGCTTACATGAATTAGCTTAAAAATGTAAAAAAAAAAAAAAACACCAATAGAGTTAACTTATGTAAAGGATCTATTTTTGTAATATTATTATGCATGGTTAGCAGCTTTAAAAAGTCTTGTTAAACACTTGACAGTGTAGTACACAATATTTATAAATGACAATGTAGTACACAAAATATTATAAACATAAAAATCAAAACATAATATCGTTCTTCTCAGCTTTTAAAAGGCCTAGATATATCATAGATATATCATAAATATTAACCAGTATTAGGCATTAGTTTGGGGTCTAATTACTTTTTTTTTTTTTTCATTAAATTGCTCAAAAATGACAGAAAAGCCATTTCTTACATTTACATTTATCAAGATTTCTGTTTAAAATAAATACTGTTCTTTTGAACTTTTTATTCATTAAAGAATCCTGAAAAAATGTATCACTGTTTTCACATAAATATGAAGCAGCACAACTGTTTTCTATTATCCACACAAGTTCCTATTATCAACATTGATAATAGGAAATTATAAATTTTTAGGTAATTCGTGTAATTTTATGTTTTAATATTGATTGAGTCAACATGGAATATTTGTACTTTTTAAAATGTATTTGTCAAGCTGCAGGGCAAGTAAAATAATGAAGGCAAAAAGGTGATTGATATATATATATATATATATATATATATATATATATACACACACACACCACTATATATATTTTAACATAGCATGTTGAAAAAAGGTTCATGCCCACATTATTTGTTACACAAAGTACACATCTCCCATTACTGGATGTAGTCTCAGAAAGGCCGTCTGTCCACTCAAGAGCTCTGTTCTGATCTTCCCCGAGGAGCCATTAGCTGCCCCTCGGCCCTCATTTGCTGTGACGCTGAGCTGAGATGAAGCACCTCAGTGCCGCGTGATTGAAGACGCGTCCCGCCGCTCGTCTCCTGATCTATGTCTGTTGGATTCTCAGTCTCTTAAGCCTACGCAAGCAATTCTGTAAAAGCAGCAGTGTTCATTAATTACAGATACACAGGACGCAGATCTATCCTGCATCGTTGTCCTCTATTGGCATTTTTAGGGCAATGATTATGTTTTGCTGCCAGTTTTATGTGTGTTCTATAGGTTACGCTTGTCTAGGGTTTGGATGGCTTTACTTGTGCCGCTGGTCTGTCATTTAGTCTGCTATTGCTGTTCAAATAGACTTAAATTATAGACATTAGTATTCCTAGATACTTAAATCAGAGAATTGGGGTCTAAAAGAGTTAATAAGATTTTTTGTTGTTGTTGATAATAAGTTAGTAAGATTATATGTGTAAGACCATACAATATACATTGTAAAAGATTTCAGTCAGCTAAAATTGAACATTTTAATTGCTTTCTTAACATTTTTCAGTAAAATAGTTAAATAATTTAGACCGCTTTGAATGTAATTACAAGAAAATCCAGATGAACCTAACCCTAGTGAAAAAATATACTGAAATGTATTTGAAATACATTTATTTCATGCTAAATATACTACAAATACATTTACATATTTTTGTGCTTAATAAAAATGCACAGCAATTGTACTGTTAGTATACTAAACTGGTATACTTTAAGTCTGCTAAACTGGAACAACTAATTTTGTGCTTAATGCACTTTAATTGTGCGGAAGTAGTTCTGAAGTCCAACTAAAGATATACTGAAGTATATTTGATTGGGCTAAAGTGGAACTATTGCTAGTATACTTCAGGTACACTTTAAATATCTCACATTTAAAGACCGATATCATCTAAAGATCACATAATTCTCATCAATAGTGACATTAAAAGACATTTTAGGCTTAATATTAAGAGATGTGCATTGTGCACAAGTGATACTCCAAATACAGTTTAATTATAATTTTGATATCAGTAAGTGTCAAGCGATATGTCAACAAATATGTTAATAGATTTGAACTTAGTATGAAATAAATGTATTTTAAACACTTTTTTACTAGGGAATTTTAATGGGTGGAACCAGATCTCTTGTTATAATGTTTTATACTACATTATAGGACAATACTGAATACAGATGCAAAACAGAAGAATTTATATTATAAAGTATCGTACAATAATATAATGTTTCAAAAGACAAAATGAGACATCACCTGGAAAACTTGCTTCTCTGCAATATTATACAAATATTATTCATTTTATCATGCAAAATTTTCTGCATAATTCATATACGTTCATAAACCAATTTCTTTTCTTATATTTACACTGTTTACATTTTTTCTACGCTAATAAAAAAAAAAAAAATCTAATAATGTTTTTCATTTAGTGGAATATACACAGTGGAAACTGTAAACTAATTTCACCAAGATCAAGATTTTGGGTTAAAAATTCAGTATACTGTGTATTAATGGGAAGTGAATGTTACCACTTTTTCATAATTTTCAATCACCCTTTTCTCTCAGTAATTCATTGCAGTGGCCTTCAAAAAGTATTTTATGTCTACACTCTTAAAAATAAAGGTGCTTAAAAGGTTCTTCACAGCGGACACTTTGCATAGAGTATGTAAACCTCTGCGGATTACTATGGCAAAGCTTTAAAATTCCAACTCCATTGGTGTACTTTTACAGTACTCATTGTAAGGATGTGAATACAAGTACAAGTATGCTAAGCATATCCAAACACAAGCTGCTGCGACGCACAAGCTTCGGTTTCTGTTTCAATCCGGAATCCAGAATCGCTTTGCATTGCAGTTCATTCATAGGTTGTAGCGATCGTTCTGGTAAAACACTGTTCTGCTAGTTGCTTTTCAGTTCTTATTCTTCCTGCATGCGTGAGTATGGATTCATAAGCGCGTGTTTTTGCATTTACACTGGCCTCAGCACTTACGGCTGTCAGCTTCAGTCATTATCTCTGCGGGGTTGTTAGTCAGACTCTTGGATCGATAGAATATGTACAGGACAGCAAGGGACGAGTTATGAAGCCATTAGCACTTGTGAATTATGGAAATCCCACCTAGAGTGGCCTGGCCTGGCCTGGAAGCCCCCAGACTTTTAATTAGAGCACTAGTGCAATGCGAATGCTAATGTGGAGCGTAGCGCTCTAAGATGTTTTTGTTGTTTTAATTGTGTCGAATCTTGGGTAACTGGTATTGTTTTAAAACGTTTAAAAGCTCTGTATAGTTTCTCAATGGTGTTGGTCCAGCGTTAAATCCATTTAAAGCTAGTCATAATGACAATTTTGTGTGGTAATATGCTGGTTTGTAAATTGCTGTATTCAATGCTTTATGAAATTACTTTAAATTGTAAATATATAGCGCTTCTTAACTGTTATTGAATCACCTTCTAAATTGTTGCGGAGTCACAGATGCTCAGAAATGTTATTAAAGGGATAGTTCACCCAAAAATGAAAATGTTGTCATTATTAACTCATTATTGTATGAGCTTCTTTCTTGTGTTGAACACAAAAGAAGATGTTTTGAAAGATGTTGGTAAACAAAGAAACCTCCTGCCAAACTCAAGTGGGCACAAAACACAGGAACTGTTCATTTCTAAAAGCTGTGTTCTCTGGTTTCACAATATACATTTAACAAAGACTTCAAGTATGTTCAGCGTGACTTCAGAAATACCTGAACAAAGCAAAATAGGACACAATCGAGAAAGAACACGAAGGCACTTCTCAAAGCTCTCAACTCCTGACTTTTAGGTTTACACTTTGCATAGAGTATGTAAACCTCTGCGGATTACTATGGCAAAGCTTTAAAATTCCAACTCCATTGGTGTACTTTTACAGTACTCATTGTAAGGATGTGAATACAAGTACAAGTATGCTAAGCATATCCAAACACAAGCTGCTGCGACGCACAAGCTTCGGTTTCTGTTTCAATCCGGAATCCAGAATCGCTTTGCATTGCAGTTCATTCATAGGTTGTAGCGATCGTTCTGGTAAAACACTGTTCTGCTAGTTGCTTTTCAGTTCTTATACTTCCTGCATGCGTGAGTATGGATTCATAAGCGCGTGTTTTTGCATTTACACTGGCCTCAGCACTTACGGCTGTCAGCTTCAGTCATTATCTCTGCGGGGTTGTTAGTCAGACTCTTGGATCGATAGAATATGTACAGGACAGCAAGGGACGAGTTATGAAGCCATTAGCACTTGTGAATTATGGAAATCCCACCCAGAGTGGCCTGGCCTGGCCTGGAAGCCCACAGACTTTTAATTAGAGCACTAGTGCAATGCGAATGCTAATGTGGAGCGTAGCGCTCGAAGATGTTTTTGTTGTTTTAATTGTGTCTAATCTTGGGTAACTGGTATTGTTTTATAGTTTCTCAATGGTGTTGGTCCAGCGTTAAATCCATTTAAAGCTAGTCATAATGACCAATTTTCATATTTTGTGTGGTAATATGCTGGTTTGTAAATTGCTTTATTCAATGCTTTATGAAATTACTTTGAATTGTAAATATATAGCGCTTCTTAACTGTTATTGAATCACCTTCTAAATTGTTGCGGAGTCACAGATGCTCAGAAATGTTATTAAAGGGATAGTTCACCCAAAAATGAAAATGTTGTCATTATTAACTCATTATTGTATGAGCTTCTTTCTTGTGTTGAACACAAAAGAAGATGTTTTGAAAGATGTTGGTAAACAAACAGTTGACGGTTGACAATAGCCATTGACTTACATTGTATTTTTTTCCATACTATAGAAGTCAATGGCTACCGTCAACTGTTTGGTTACCAACATTCTTCGAAATATCTTCTTTTGTGCTCAACAGATGAAAAAGAAAAACTCATACAGGTTTAGAACAACTTGATGATGAGAATGACAGAATTTGCATTT